GTCAAATATCAAATAAATTTTGTCGAGAAGCAATCAAAAAGAAAAAGAAACAACTTACTTTTTGTACTTTTGTATCCAGATTAACCAGTAAGGACATACGAAGGTCACGAAAGTAATTCCCAGAATATATATTATAACAATAGTTTTTGATATATACATAAATAAAGTGGTTGCAAGAATAAATAATAGGCAAGTCAATGCAGCATTAAATCTGGCTGAAAGACTCTTGAAGAAAGGAAGAAAGCGATTAATAAAACGTGACCATAATAAGGTAAAACAAAAAAAATCTATAAACCAAAAATAAATAATTACTTTTGTGTATCTTCTAAATAATGGGAAAAGTGCAAACCATTCGACAGCGAATGACATAAGACCTAAAACGTGTGAATTTGACGGTAACCTTGATGCTAACAATACTGATGCAAAAATTGCAGCATTTGTTGATAAGGAACCTGGAAATCTAATCGTTTATCAGAAAATCATTAATTAAACGAACTCGTCATCAAATTGCAGATTTTCAAACTTACTTGATGTTTGTTCTATTCTCTGATCCGTAATCATGAAATAACATATTTGCAAGAAATAGTATTACAGTTAAAGCCCAAATTGTATCACTACTGATGTCCTTTGTTAATGTTTTTAAAATAGGTGATAATCCTAAAAGTGTAGCAGAAAATAACATAGCTCCCTTCGCTGTTTTCCATCCTAATTCCAAATTAGAAAACAAATTGTTAAAGAAAACGTGACATAAGTATTTTCTAGGAATTTCAAAAAGGAATTGTGCAAACCAGCTAGCTTACTTTTATATTCATATGAGGGATCGGTCTTTGATATACTTTTGTCCCAAAATATATATCCTATGATAGTAAATACTGTCCCGCATATTATCAAAGTTTGTGCTAAAAGCATGTCAAGATAAAGATATATAAAAATCGCTATAAAGATCACTATACTGCTTATGTGTTGTGAAATTACGGTTGATTCCATGACTACAGACCAGTAATCATATAACCTGACATTTGCTTTAAAATAATAAGCATTCGAGAAATTTAATAGTGGTTCAAGTATAGGTCTATTAGAAATGAATACTTATTGGATTTTTTTATAAGAATACCATTTCTCTTTAATTCTTCTAAAAATGTTTTATCTACATAATTATCCGGATAATCGTGTTTCACCCACAATAGTTTACGCCACGGAATTTTACGTTCCTCGCGTACTGAATTCGTCTTTAAAATCTAAAATTTTTATTCGGTAAATTTAAAGAAAACTTTTTTTTTCGAAAGAGAAGCTTACCCTGTTTATTAGGCTAGACCTGTATCCCACCGAAAGAGATTGTTAATAAATGTGTATAAACGAAACCAATCAATAAATCAACGTGTAGAAATAAATTCACCTATCGAATCCGCATATTTTACATTTTGCTTCTTCCCGAAATTGGTATCCATCAGCAGGACAGTAGTTGATGTTTAACTCAACCATTAGATTGTGACGGTGGAATAAATAGTCCTCGGCTGGTGGATTTATATTAAAATTGGTTTCACAAATATGATGTTATCATAATTTAATGCACGTGACTAAAAGCTCTTTGTTACGGTATTATTAGCTTAAATATTATTATTATTTTTAATTTTAAAATTAATTTTTCAAATAAATTTATTATTATTATTTTTTTATATATTTTAAAAAACATATACCAGTCTGGTTAAAAAAAGTTGAAAAAATTATTATATATTTTTTTTTATGATTCAATAACTAATCAATAAAAAAAATAAGAATATAAAAATATATAGTATATATTTAAGATATAAAAAATAAATTTATAATTATAAAAAACAATTTAAAAATTTGATTTTATATTAATTACAATAATAATAATAATAATTAATTGTTAAAATTACATTTGAATATTAAGTTATTATATTTTTTAAATTATTATTTATATTTTAATTTTAATTATAAAAAAATCATTTAATTAATCATTAATAAAGCATCAATATTATTTTATAATATAATAAAAATTATTTGTTAAATTTTATTAAAAAACTAGTAACTCAATATTAAATTATAAATTATTTATAAAAATATATTTTTAATAATAATAAAATTTTTAGCTTATAGTCTAATTAAGAATATAAAAAAATAATAATAATAATAAATATATATACTGTATATAATAATAATAATTTTTTTTAAAATTAATAATCAAAATTAACTTAAATTTGTTTTTTATATAAAATAAAAAAATTTTTATAAATTAAATAAAAGTACTATATATGATATATTATATTTAATATAATTTTTTATTCTAAAAATATGTTTTTTAATAAATTATAAATATAAAATTAGTTTTAATTAATTTTATTAAATTTATAAATATTATTATACAAAAGTTACTAATTTATTATATAATCCTTATATATAATTTAAATTTTTGTTAAAACCTATATTATAATAATATTATTGATATTGTATAAAAATAAATTAATTAATTTAAAATTGAATGTTGATTTATAAAAGTTTATAATATTTTTAATATTTAAAAATTTTTTAATCAAATTAAATTTAAAATTAAAATATATTATTTCTATATACTGTATATTATAAATTAGAATTATAAATTTTTTTTTAAACTACAAATTTAATATTAAAATATTTATAATATTTATTCTTAAAATAAAATTATATATTAATAAATAATAAATCAATTATATTTGTAATATTAATATAATAAATTAAACAGTTAAATAAATAGATTTTAATTTTAAAATTCTTAATAATTTTGATTAAATAAAAATTTTAATTGTTTTAATTAATTTTTTTAAATTGTAAACTAAATAAAATTAAAAAAAATTTTTAAATTAATTATAAATTTTATAAAATATATTTTTTTGTAATTAAAATAAAAAGTTTAAATATTAGATTATTAATTAATATAAGTTATTATTTTTTTCAAATAGTTTAATATTGAAATTATTATAATCAATAAAAATTATATTGAAATACTTTAAATATTAATTTATAGACTAATTTAATACATTTATAATTTTGGTTTAAAAAGATTAAAAATAAATTTGTTAAGTAATATAATAAGAAAATATATAAGTTTTTTTATAATTATTTAATTATATATTTGTTATTTAATTTTATTCTTTCAATTTTATTTAAATAATTTTTAAGAATTGTATCTATAAATTAATCAAAAACTTTTTTATTAAATTTAAAAAAAATTTTTTTTTAAAAAAACATACTTAAATATTTGAAATTTTTATTTTTATTTATTTTTTTTTTTAATAAATAAATTTATTTAAATTATATAATATTATATATACATTGTGAAATAAACATTATATATATATATAAATGTAATAAGTTAAATATTAACTTGCTTACAATAATCACTTAATTAATATTGAAAAAAAATTTTAAAACAATATATCTTATCAAGTAGTTCCAAGTAGCTATGATTATTTATTTTAAAGATAGATTTTTAAATTAAAGATAAAGCAGATATAATTCAAATATTCCTTATTATTAAAAAGTTTTTTTAAAAATATAAAATCAAAAAAAAAATACTTACAAATTTTTTTTATAATTTAAACCATTTGATTTAAATATTTTTTGAATTATATTTCTATTAAAATAATATATAATTAATTATATTTCTTCAAAAAAACATAATTAATTTGTAAAATTTTATATATTAAATAATTTAAAAATTTATTTTTAATCTACTCTGTATTGAATAAAAAAAAATAGAAATAATTAGATATTAATTTAGTAATACATTTACAAAAGTATAAATTTACTTATAATTTAATAGTTTTAATTATTTTAATAACAATTAAATTATTTAAAAAATAATAAACAAATTATATTATAATTGTTATAATAAATTATTATACTATAAATTTATAAATTAAATTTTTATGACCTGTAGATCTATAGTGTAGTGGTTAATACTCCACAGGTCAGATCACAAGATACCAGTTCAACTTCAGGTAAAGGCAGTTGAATCAAATTAAGGATGGTATCTGGGGCCATAACTTGTTAAGCCCTGTTTTCTATAAGAAGTCATTTACATGCTGATTCAGTAGAACGTTGGGATTGTGATCTCCAGAAAAGGTGTCGAGGTGTGACGATTGTCCGTATGGTGTTACGATGATCGCCAGAAGCATGCCAATGGTAGTTGAGCAACATGGTAAGCCAAGAGGCATGTGTTTAACTTCCCTAATCAAGATTCCCCTTGCGTTTGGATGTACAGATTGGGCTGTACTCCATCCTAATCCAATCCCGTCTA